CATATCACCTGGAACACTTTAACACAAAATAAAACACTGTTTTTATCTGGCAAATCAAAATATGTTCTTGCGAACAGTACACACACAAAACTGATGTTATTTATATGATTCAATTTTCAAATTTTATAAATATTGGTTACTATATGTTTCAGTTATTTATAAATTATATTGGTGGACAAATGAAAAACTCCATTAAAATGTATGACAGTGTATTCATAGGAAATGTTGCTAGCTAGTTAAGACTGGAATATTTATTTGATGTCGGCAGAAATACAAAAGCTATGTAATGCATCTCGGTATCATAAAGAATTTGATTTTCCATAATAATATACGTCATTGCTTCTGTTTTGGGTTGTGGGTCGACGATAGTATAAACAGGTGAAGCTTCGAAGCTATATCTTGAGGCGATGCATCTACAATAGTTTAATTTTAACATTTTAATAAGGAAGTGATTAAAATAACTCAACAATGAGAAATATAAATTTATGCCGGAATTAAAATCAAGTTAAATCAAACAGGATATTTACTTGTAACTGAGATATCCGATAAGTCCAAATGCTTGCTGATATCCGTATATCTATATACTTTAACTTTCTTACCTTCCCTCTTTCAACTTTTATTTCATAACAAATACCAAGTGCAAATGAAATATTGTATTCCTGTTCATTTATTGCGCTATTTATGTGCATTTATTTGGTAAAAATAGTAATATATAGTGGTCCCGCCTCCTATATGGCCACCACTTCTGTACCGGAAAAGTGGCTTTATAAGACAGGTGGTCTTTGCAGAGGGGGATTAAATATATTTGGTAAGATGTATATGTAATGTATGTGACAAGAAAGCTTCATACTTCAAACCATTTAATATCTTCATTTAATGTCTTAATTTAAAAAAAACCCAATAATTATTAAGATATTCTTTTTGCCTTAAGAATAGGCTTATTTCAACTGAATATACATTAACAGTTCTTGTTCTTGACTAAGTGCTATGTGCGAGCTGGTATTGTGGTCATGCGCATTCCAAACCAATCAAAAACGTCATATAAATCCTGTACATATATAATTCTCTTTCCATTTCTCCGTTTCCCTACTGCGGCTGAATAATCTCCTTATTGGTTACGACGTTGTTTATTTGAATCTTTTCAGCATAAAAAAATGTTTTATTAGAGCCATTTCTACATAGAACTGTTCTGCATGCCTCCCTCCCCACCTTTGTGTCGTTGAGTCGAATAACCGATTATGTGATGACATGTTAATGCTTGGTAATGATTTATTCAGATGATGCTAGCTGTATGCGAGTTAGTTATGCCGACAAAACTTTTGTAGGGTAGACAAAATGCCTTCTTCCTAAAGGAAGCAATATAAGTAGTATCTTATTTTCGGTCTTTGTCTGGTCCACTGTTTTTCTCAAGGTTAAGTTTTCTGTATCCACCTAATATATATTTCGCCTGTGCAGACAATATGTTATGATCTTGACAATTACATCCGGTTGTAATCATCAAAGATAAGAACTCGACATATGTATGCAACCCAAAATTCATCACAACGTAGTTGAGCTCATTTCCTGTATACGGGGCTTTTATAGATAATGATATACTATTAATCTTAATGTTACATGATCTTAAGCCAAAACATTTTCAGTAACGGAAACCTGACATCGAAAGACATGTGTCGACGGAAGAAATAATCTGATTGCTTACCATACAACATGAATTAATTATCGATTATGGACACATATGAAATAAAAGGGCCACTTGTAAGGGGACCATTTTACATCTTTGTACTAATATACTGGCCGCTGGTCGCGTTCAAGAGGTGACCATTCTTGAGGGGTACTTTTGAACACAAACTCTTCGGTGCCTAGGGATTCTGGCTGTAAGACGTGGGTGGTTCCTGGTTGGTGTGGGGCCATTCAAGGGAACCACTGTAGACAATGCTCAACTGAAATCCCTGAGGTAGTTTTTCTTTGTAAACTGTGATCCGACAACTCAGTAGCCTAAGTACTGTAGACTCTAATATGAGGTCAATGTAAAAGAAATTGCACTTTGCCAGCATATATTCGACTTCTGTCAATTAAATCTTTCAAGATGGAACATTTTCCTGTACCTATGGCAAATTTCCACCAAACAAATCAAAATTGGTAATTCTTGTTGTGCTTAACGCCATTTTTCAGCACACGATAGGGTATTCATGTCGGCCAGTATTAATGGTGGAGGAAGAAACCGGGAAATCACCGGAAAGAACCACCGACCCACGATAAGCTACTGGCAAGCTTTCTCACATATCCACATTCGCCGAATCCTAGACTCGAACTCACGCAGACAGAGGTGAGATGGCAGTGATCCATAACGGACAGCTCTTTAAACCACTCGGCCACTAGGGGCCCCTTCAAAATAGGTAAAAACAGACATGAAGGTACTACTAGATAGATAAAATACAACTTGATACTGACTTTTTGTGAGACACGCACTATCAAAAGACGTTTACAGAGACTATCATTTCTAGTACTTTTATGCAGAATTATTACACACCAAATAGACACTGCAAATAATGAGACAAACAGACATATTGACAACTACATTTTATTGAGACAATTGTATTTTTAAGGATATCATGTTTTTTGCCTTATTTTATGAGCAGAAAAAAATCATTTTGTCAACGTTCCAGTACTATAGATTTTAGTTCTAATGTCGTCATACACTAACCTTTGCGACATAGCTATTTAGCTACTATATAATTTTCAAGCCATTTGAAGTCGTTTCCAAGAAGACGTCGAATAATAATATTTTGTAATTATTTAATATAAATAAAATGAAATTGATAAGGTGCTGTAAATCCTCTCGAAGTTTGTTACAAATATAATGAAATATTGTCTGCACAAATACGGAGCAAATAAATTGTTGCCAATAATGTGGATGCAGCTTTGTATTAGAATCTCTTTTGGATGTCTATGAATATTTAGATAAATCAACCAAATTATGTCATGTTACATTTGTGTAGATTAGATAAGTCATTCGGTAAACGCTGTACGCCATAAGATAAAATTATATAACACTGTACACAGTAAATGAGAGTCATCTGAATCATACGGTACACAGTAAATGAAAGTCATCTGGATAACACTGCAAACAATAAAGAACAACTGGAGAGTTCCTTATTCCCAAACAAGTTCACGTCATCGAAAGATAACAAGCTAGAACGTCCTTTCCAGCCTGCTTATATTCTAACTTACTAGATTCGTCGTTACTTTATCATTATGTCTCTTTAATGACAATATATATCACAATTTCAAATTTAAGAAAGAATAAATACAAAAAAGATATTGAAAATTATGATATATGTTTCCTTTGCCAACACGGAAATCATTTTCGATTTGTATGCTTTGGACAACACTGGGTATTATGTTTTGCATGTGAAATGAGAACTTCGTTTTCACACATTAACAATATCAATTACACCATCATTCAAACTATTTAGAGAATAGTGTCAAAGATTTATATTGGTACTTAAATGTCTCAGCCACATTAAATAGAGTATCATTCAAAGCTGACTTCGAGTGTTGTCAACAGTATCCACATTTTCATTTTATATTTTCTTTCAGGCGCTTGTATCGTACAAATCCATATATACACTCCTTTTCATACCATCTGATGCAAGAAATACAAGTGGCAGTTTTGAATGAGAACATTATGGCTTTTATAAGTTGAGAATTACTTTGAGAAATCATATGTCACATGATTAATTAGGATAAGTTAATTTTTTGGGTTAAGATGAATAATGACTACTAGATAAAAGTTGGGTCTGATATATCTAGTTTTAGCTTTAAATACATAGAGGCTTATTGCTCTCACTTAGCTTGATATGATTATAAAGCTATAATTATGTACGTAATTCTTATATATGCGTACATTTACTGCAATATAATATTTTTGGGCTATAGAGTACATACATAAATTATACAGGGAATAAATAATATTAATATAGTTATGGATAAATAAGATTCGTTATTGTGTCCGATTCAAGCATTGAAAATACCCTCAGTCTAAGGACAAATATTTCCTTTTGGAAAGGGATTCTAAACTTCGTCAACGTTTGTAGTAATAATAGTCATCTCCAGCTGGCTGAACAAAGAGTTTCTCGAGCTCGTCTTTCATCTCAGCGAATGTAGGTCTCTTGTCAGGGGACATATTCCAGGTGTTCTTCATCACGCCGTACCACCTGTTGCGAATACACGATGCATTAATTACTATTCTTTTCAATCACAGAAAGCTACAATAAGAACCAATATAAAACATATTCATTTGCAGAAAGCGTATTTCTAGTGCTCTTGATGCAAGTTTCTTGTTTAAAGGATGGGATAAAAAGAGCGATATCTAACAAGTAAAATGACATTAACAAAGTAGTGTAGGAGTAAGCAATTTTCATTTCGGTAGGTTAGATAGGCCGAAGCCTTCTATATGCCACAACGTTACTACTTTATCTTAAGAACATTATTTTAGATATGTAAAGCTTTTGGGTCTTGTTAAGATGAATAAAAACTCCACTAAATAAAAATTTTCTGGTATTTCTATTTTTAACTTTAAATATATAGGCAGCTTTCCGCTATGCGTTATTTTGATGTAAAGTGTTCTAACAATAGCATCTGATAGTAATGCTATGACTAAATAAATGTTTTATAGAGTCAAATTATAAAACTAGATAAAGCTCTTTGGTTCAACAAATTCAAGTAACTATGAATGAAAATGTGTATTTTAGTGTGATTGTGAGTGTGTGATTCGCATTCGCAGCTTGAACAATTTTTCAGTCATATTGCTACGATGTCTGCTGTGTAGCAATTTATAGTGATGCCTAGCACATGAGGCACCATGCCGCAGACATGTAGCATGATGTCACACCAAGTCACATTATCCTGACACCAGGTCAACCAGTCCTAACACTAACCTCTTAATGCTGATCGCTAAACGAGGCAGCTGTTAGAACCATTTTTGTAAGCCTTTGGTATGACTCGGTCGGGAATTGAACCCACGACCGACCGATCACATCCAAGACAAACGCTTTGACCACTAGGCCACCGGAACAGTGTGTATGTTTTGCGTGAGAACTGAGTTACATAGCAACACCAAAGTATGTTCCTGCAAGGTCGGATATAAATGTGATAAATTATAACATCCCGAGAGTGACAGCAAACACAAGCGACAAATCTGACAGCAATACATGGCTGGACTCAAAAATAGTGACACAAAATTTCTTGCAAAAGGTATTGCGGCCACACTAAAAATTATTGAAGAACTTAACCAGTATCGCTGTTAATATATTTGTTTTGTTTGAAACAAAGGTTTTCAATGCATATTGAAATCATATTTTTAAAATGGGCGGACCTAGATTCATCCGTTGTTGCTGAGTATTATGAACGGTTCAGAGTCGCGATATCAAATCTCTCTCTCTCTCTCTCTCTCTCTCTCTCTCTCTCTCTCTCTCTCTCTCTCTCTCTCTCTCTCTCTCTCTCTCTCGTTTTATATACATCTTAACAAATATTTGGTAGAAGTTTCTTCTCTTTCTTCTTCTCTTATATATATATATATATATATATATATATATATATATATATATATATATATATATATATATATAAGGGTGCACATGCAAAAGAATAGATATATGAGCACAATCAAATCAACGTCATATAATTCTTTGAAGTTGATACAGAGTATGCAGAAGATATCTTTACAACATTTACAACGACTACCTGCTAGCCTCAGAAGCAATGACAAGCCTGGTTTCAAGATTTTGAATTAGTAGCAACTGCGCAGTATATGTGAGAAACCTACAGTACCATCTTCTAGAAGCTATGTGCGTACTGCAAGTCCACCGGCTGCTCAAGTTGCGTCTGCGTACGTAGATGGCTCCGTACATCCGGGTGAATAAAATTTTGAAGACAAATTCCATTTATAAGCTTGAAAAAGATTTATTTAATCTTATAGAAAAAGCCGTGTTCAGGAATGTAAAGGAGAACCCCGCAAACGTATACTTGTCGAACGTGTCCTTGATAGTAAGCTAAGCTTCGAAGGCTCAGCGCATACCGAATTTAAAAGTCAAGTAAGCTATTCGACAGATGTCTTGTAGCAGTCCACAGTAAACAAGCAAAGCTGACCTTGATAGATAGTTTTTATATTGATCCGCCTATACTGTATTTGCCAAAGCTTTTCATGTACGAGATTTACTATGACTAAATTAAAATGTTTTTCCAGAGCTGTATCACGATCTTCTACATGGACACCGATTCACCACTGACCATGTCTATGTGGAGATATCGTGGTCATGCTATGAAATGAATTTGACACTTAATTATGCAAAAAGGTTATTCTATATTTAGTAACACAAAAAATGAAACGTTTGCTGGCAATTTTAAAGATGAATGTGATCGCAATCGTGGTAGGACCGCAAAACAGCACGAAGATAAAAGGAAAAAGTATTTCCTTAGTTGTTGTTGCAAAAAAATCTCAAACAATAAATGCATGTGCAATGTTTGCGTGAGCAGGTGTGTATCGATGCTCCAAGGTGAGACTGGCACCGCTTGACACCAATCAATGAATTATCCTGATGAAATAACCGATTACCTACAGAGGAAACCACGAGGTGAATCAGTTTGGTATTTGGTCTTTATCTGATGGAATGATTTGAAATTTTTCTCGCTTTGCTTAGTTTCTTTCATTGCTTGTTCGCTGTATGGTGCTAAATAATAACGTGTTAACTGTCCTGGAAGATAAATCTGATTGGATATTATAAATACATCAATGGATCACACCGGGTCAGTAGCGCGACGATGCCTTGCTTCTCATATCTCTAGTACGTGAAAATATCGAAAATGATTATGTTCGATTGTGTCAACTACAAATGCAACTGAATTAAGAATAACGGTGACACTCTTTTACCGAATCATCTCATCATTTGATTTCATTATTTATTGCTTGTATGACTGATAGAAGTCCTGTTATCCACTCGCAAGTTTGCTTTAGAGTGCTAGTTACACTTTCATCAATAGCAATACAAACAATACTCCAGATGATAAAAGTGTCAATGAACCCGCTCAACAGCGTCTGGCTGACTTATTTATTGCAAATGAGGAAGTGGCAAATTGATTTTCATTGTAGGCTAAGCTTGGTCATAAGTGGCATATTACATGAAATCGATAATGTACGAAAATATATAAAAATATAATTGTATATTAACGGACCCAAAACCCCATTTCACCTGGACGCAACTTTGCTGGTAGATCCAGGAGTCCGAGATTTTTGCTATTATTCATACCTGGTTAACCACAAAGATGGGTATAAAATAAATTACAAGTAGAAGACACATTCCGGTAGTTGCTATCGTGTTAGGATAACCTGAAAATCTGACGAGGAAACTTGTAATAAACCCCGCCTCCGTTATTATGCTTGCTGAGGTACCACATATAGAAGTTAGCAATGGCTTCATTGTAGCGCACGATATCTCAAGGACTACAAGGTAATCAAAACAATAATTGACAACTGTGCCATTGCTACAAAAATTATAGGAATCGTTATATAAAGCGATGATAGCGAGAGTTCTACTGACTCGTTCATGATATTTCAGAAAGATGGATCTGATAATACAGATCATGCTGAGTACATCATACGTCAAATTGGTCAGTCTGCTTTGTGGCCACCCAACACCGTTGTATGCCTTACGCACCTGGTACTAGTGGCGCCCCTATCATGGGTTCCATCAATGACACTTATTATCTTGGATTCGCATAGTGTCGAGGAGTGAGACTTTACTGCTTTCATCTGCTTTTCTTCTCTGTCATATATTTGGGTCTTGCACAAATGGTCGCAAGGTCATTTTATGTGCCAAAACACAGTCATGTTATTTCGGAAGAGTAAATAACAACGATTCAGTTTCGTATCCTGATGATGCTATTATCGTTATTAATGATCGCAAATGTTATGCTGACGAATTGAACATTATGAATGCCTGTACGAACTCAATCGATGGCTGTTTGCTAGCGTTTACGAATTATGGAGTCATGTCATTGCACACAAAGATCACAGATTCATTTGAAGCGAATGTTCAACAGTTTTCATGCCACGAAACTATCCAGAGAGGTATTAATGCCCCAAGATATGTATTCGTGGCAAGTCAGTCTATCGTTCGTGTGATTGATGGATAGATCACCATGTAAACTATATGTGACAGGTTAGGAGTATCTGGGGTTTCGCCAATGTGAAACGGATCGTCATCTGGAAATCAGGAAAGAAATTTTGCTTGACTTAATAAACAATTATGTCGCACGCGCATATCACAAACTGTGCTGGTACATGAACTGGCATCAAAACATTAACACAGGTCCTCAGATTCCACAATACGACTTTAGTATTTTTATTGGAACAATTAGACCAAGTCAAGCAGTGTGTGGTCGACATTCATACTCGTCTAAATGGGCCCATTATTATAGATGCATTGCTGTGATTCTCACGGACAAGATGCTGTTGTCGGAGAGTACAAGTGACCGGATGAAATTCATTAACCCGCCTATAAAAAACTAGTAAATTGTTCTCAAACTAGTAATTTAATTTCTGCCGTTTGCAAATAATGATGAACTATCACGAGCTTACCCCAACCTTCTATCGAAAATGCGGAGCACAATACAGGATCACAATGAATTTTTCTCCGATACATTTAACTAGAGCTATCTCTTTATGGTTGACCAAACAAATTTTAATCGGCTCAATGCTGTTAAATGAAAGAACGCCTGAGTGATATTGAATTTGTTAAAGTCAGTGGTGATGCAAATGTAAATGACAGGTGAAATATTTCCATTCCTAGCTATCGATGTAGTATTGTTAGAAATCACTAAATGACGAATCAGCACAACGCTCTTTAAACGGATATGAAAAGGAAAAGCGTGCATTAGATTATAATTAGACTCGAGTAATGCACTTTTATAGATTGTGCATATGTGTTAGATAGAATTCAATGATATGTCCTTCTCAAAACGAGTTCATGCCGAGATTGAAAGTATGTGAAAAATGGAAAATGAAGGATTAAAGCAGATGTTTGACGACGAACAGACCCAGCTCCGCTTCAATGTAAGTGTGTCCTAATGTTATACGGACTACAGGTAATTACCGATCATTCTCATAATTACCTGGGATATGGTAATAATATATCAGTTTAGAGTAAATTATATAAATATTATTAACATACACCCATTCTTATATGCAATACCAATATAATATATGGTACATATTGATCTAATTGTTCGTTATCGGCGTCTCTTACGCAATACAAAATAAATGAAATCTCTTACGTTTCATCGCATTGTTCGGGTTTTGGCAGACGTTCTCCTTTTCTTAGTCTCGAAGGCAAATCACGGCTTTTGATGTTGGGATACGGAGTGTGACCTATATTTATTCAAATATATAAATAAAAATCTCTTTTATATTGTTGGTGTGACTGATTATTTTTGCATACTTCCTGCCTCTCTGTGATAGAATCCAAAACTTATACGATTGTTCTGACGAAGCTGTACATAAAAGCACATTGTTGCATAGGAGATTGTTTTATTATTTGTTTAAACGAACAGAAAAAAACATTAAACGCATACACAAAATATTTCAGTCACCTATAATTATTAAGCTTACTGAATGAATGAGTGTTATGTTACTACAAAACAATCAAGAAATATATAAATATGGTAAATTAAACGATCTACGCTTGGCTATAGATAGGTGTAATTTTCTGCACAAAAAAAAACACATTGCAAGCGTACGCAAATACTCCTATTAATAGTGTAAAGACGATTATGGATTGATAATATTGAGGGTATGATGTACAAGATTATACCGTATAATCAAGCATTGTTTATGCATTCAAAAGCTAAGTACATATTTATATCTCACTGGCCTACTACAGTGTTGCTTTTTGTACCTTAAGATGAGTGCTAATCAAATAGATATAGTCCTATGTACAAAGAATCTGAACAGATTGGTAATCACTGGCGTTTCCACGAATTTCACACATGAAGGAATTAAGACAATCTGATTTGCTCCAG